CAAAATGATAGTGATCAATTCACATATCAAATTCCAACGATACCATCTCAACAGCCTTTTTCGTTGGCGGATTATTTTCTTCAAATAATTGGTCAGAATCATCTATTTGATTGGCTTTTCGTTTTTGTGTAGGTGGAACATTTGTTGAAGTCTGTTGAGATGGTATCGTTGGAATTTGATATGTGAATTGATCACTATCATTTTGTCCATGAATGACTGTTAAGCCATCATCAGTACTTGTCGTATCATTGCTCATGGATGCTTCTTTACTTTTTGTTTGTTCAGGTAGATGATCAGGTGGACGATCCGATGCAAGATCAGATGATACTGAAGATTGATCTTGCAGTTCAATGTTGTACTCTTTACAAAATCTGTGAATATTGCTTGATTGCAGTTGTTTATCATGCAGCAAAGAAACTCACAAAAAATCGAGCGATTGTTCGATAGGGATGAAATTTGAGATTCATTAAAAGTGATCCAAAACTAAGCAATTTCTAAAAGAGTCAATAAACAATTTCCATGAAATTAAAAATATCTAAACTTTTATGAAACCGATAATTAAAAACGAAAATTGGAACATCTGAAATATTCCTCTTCAACGTGTTGAATTCGAATAAAGGTACTTTTGTGACACATTGTGAAGATTTTTTAGAATTTTCGAAGCTTTTTATACAGTCAACAAGAACTCGGAAACTGATTTAGGTTCTCTAGTATACTTTTTGACCTTCAGTATTTTCGGAAACCAAAAGGGTTTTCGAATAAAGACTTCGCAAACCGAAAAGGTATCCTCGCATACCCATTCGAATACCAACTCAGTTTTTCTGACAATATTAGTTTCCTATAATACCCTAACGGTTTAAGAAAATACAGTTAGGTTTTCGAGATCAAGAAAAGGGTATTCTAAAATACCTTTAGGGTGTCAGATTCGGTATTTCAGGAAACCTGAGGGTTTCCGAGGTCTCGGAAACCAAAAAGGTATATTGGCAAACGCTTCAGGTTCTCGGAAACCCTCTCGGATACCTTTAAAGGTTTCCGAGAGGGTTTCCGAACTGGTTTCGGTTTTCTAGGAAACGGTTTTTTTTTAGAGAGTATGAAGAAGAACTATTTGATGTGGATTATGGTATAAATATGTTGCTTGATGGGGAACCATCGGAATCGGTGTATGTTTCTGTTAACGATCCCTTATGTGTTGGGGCTGTTATTACACGTTCCAAGAAAAAACAAGCATTCCAACATCAATTAACCCCTATTATACAGTCAACATCTCATGTAAATGATGCAACATCTTTGGTTAGTGACAAAGTTACTAATGAATTATCAAAAACCTCTTTTCCGTCATTTACTTGTAATTTTTTTAATATTGATCAGGTGAAATTAGAACAATCGAAAGACCCAGTTATTCAAAAAACCATTAAAGAACTACAACAAAATCCATCAAATAATTTATATGTTTTACATGAAGATTTATTGTATAAATTGATGAAGATACATTTACATAATAAAAAAAAATTAAAGTAATATATTTACCAACATCTCTGATTAATCCTCTGATTAAAGCTTATCATAGTGATCCATTAGGAGGACACTTTGGTATATTACGTACATATTTAAAATTGAAGGACAAGTTTTGGTGGCCTAATATGAAACAATCCATTGCTCAATATATCAAGTCTTGTTTACCATGTCAACAATACAATATTAGTCGTATAAAGAAACCTGGTCGATTATGTCCTATCGACACACCTGATGGACCATTTCAGATGATTGGTATTGATTTTTGTGGTCCATTTATGCGTACTCCAAGTGGTAATCAATATGTGCTATGTATTACAGATTATTTTACACGATGGATTAATGCCTTTGCATTACCAAATTGTTCTGCACAAATTACTGCACAAACGATTTTTAATGAATATATTTGTCGATATGGAGTACCGTTATCTATTCTATCAGATCAAGGTACTCATTTCAAAAATCAACTTATGGATGCTATGGAAAAATTAATGGGGTATAATCATATATTTTCAACTGTTTACCATCCACAAAGCAATGGAATGGTTGAACGTTTTAACGCCATATTCGTGCCCCAATTAGCTAAACTTCAGGATCGTGAAAATAATAATTGGGATGAATTTTTGTCACCAGTGATATTTGCATATAACACTGGTATACATTCAATTACTCAACATTCACCATTTCAATTACAATTTGGTCGAGAACCTCGATTACCTTGTGACAAACCACCTACTAATTATGTATTTTATCGACCAAATGATTATTATAGGCAACTACAGAAAAGTTTAAAAATTATCCATATGAGTGCTCGTAATAAAATAAATTCTAAACAATTAAAATCTAAAACTCAATATGACAAACATCGTAGTGATCCTCATTATCAAATTAATGATAAAGTATTAATTAAAGTTTATGGATCCAGATCAAAGTTAGATCCTAGATATTCTATTACTCCAAAATTAGTTATTAAAAAACAACATCCTATTTATTGGGTTCAAGATGAAATAGTTAATGAAGTCACTCGTGTTCATGTGAATGACATTCGACCTATTTTAGTGATATAAAAAAATTTATATATTATTTTATTTTTATTTACCATTACCAACTCAGATTAATAAAGAAAATGACTTTATATGTTACTCAAGTTTATTTATCACATTATCATTATTATTATTTTTTATTTTATTATTACAACAACATCCACCATTGATCCGTAGTCTAGTGTTTGATGATTCATCATCCATTTCTCAGAATTCAATGGTTTAACACACCTATGCACTTTGAATTACGCACCTGTTTCGGATAAAAAATCTTACTGTAATAAAAGGTAGACTTGAAATTGTTTTACAGAAAAATATCGATATTAGGTTTTTTGCTTTTATTGATGACTGACTCATTATATTAGAGGATAGAAATTATAGAAAGCAACAACAGACAAACAGAAATTTGTTTCACGTCATTCAAGTTTTACAACAGGGCTACTTGATCTTGATTATTCAAGTGAAGAAAATAGTGAATCGTCATCAATTTCAAATGAAAACTGTGTCGACAGTGAAATAGACGAGCACAGCTATTCCGTAAAAACTTGTTTGTTTTACTGCCTAATCTGAAAACTCAAAGAAATTTGTTTTTTATATTTCATCGTTATCAAGTTCGAGCGAGTCGAAATCGGAAGACTATGGATTTTGATTGTTTTATGTTTTACTTTGATAAATATTAAATAAAAAACAGCTCAAACACAAAGTCTCATTCACTCTTTTACATTTATAAAAAAATAATACATTTGAACATGATTATTTCATTTATTCACTTCGAAAAATGCAATCATCTTATAGCTAAAGTTGTTTTCGCAAATGTTTTCTTGTATTTTTATTAAATCAAAATTGTAATTTTGGTCTTTTTACCTTTTTTTTTTTTGTTAAAAATCAAAATAAGCTTACGACTCAATCACAGAAATTCTCTCGTTTTATTAATTAATAGTAAATTATCATTTATTGAATTTATGATTACTTCA